GGGTTATTTTGCCCCAGTGGTTCTGGACTGGAGGCTTATGGGCACTAAATGAAGGGAATACGGTATTCATCTTTCCATCCGTTCTTGATCAGTGCCTTCGTCAGGTGGATATCTAGCTTTGAAATTTGCGTTCACTGGTGTTGGAGTTGCATGAAAAATTGTTTCACGTCACCTTTGGCTCATGTCTAGCAGACATAATGTCAATATTGATAGAGTTATCTATCACTCCGGCAGCAGTGTGGGCACAATGATGGAGCGGAAGAGGGCCCAATATTTTCTAAAACTCGTAGAAACATCCCTGGATCAACGAACTTATCTGTAACGATGGCATTTCAGCAACAAATGCCTTATGGCCCATTTTCGATGGAAATTCGCAGTAAGGTCATTGCAATAAGGCTTGTCAAAGAAACCTGAAAGAGTAAGCCTGTTCGCAGGCTAGGGTTCTAGGTCAGAATGAATTCTCACCCCTCGATATTTCTCCAAGTGTTCACCACTCACATCAAGTGGTGGGCGTATATACTTGTAAACTGTCCTACCTTGTGGGCCATGTGAATCTATGTTGCATTCTAAAGGTCGATTTAGACTACACAACTTTTGCCTAAAACTCTCGTATGCAACCTGCTTACAACTTGAGTTGTACTGTGTAAATCAAGCACACAAGTTGTCGTGGGTGAGTTGTGTGCTTGATTTACAAAGTACAACTCAAGTTGTAAGCAGGTTGCATGCGACAGTTTAGGCAAAAGTTGTGTAGTCTAAATCGGCTTTACTGATAGACAAAAGATCGTAACTATATGTTGTATTTTATAGTGAAAACGTCGAGGTCTTCGAGGGTTAATTTACGCATGTATCATTTTTCAATGCTGACTCTGCATAATTTCAACTGTTTACTATATAGCATCTAGAGGTTGCCAACTCTCAGATTTGAGATTTGTGAATGATTACACGTTGTCTAGTTTAAGTTTAAAAAGTGGTTATAAAACATTGCTTTCACCGGTACAATTGGCGAGTTTCAATAAGTGTTCAGTATAGCGTAGCAGGTCTAGCAGATCGTCGTTGATAGTTGACACTTTTATATACAGTAGCTAGCAAATGAGACTACAACTCTCAATTCTATTGATTTGCCTCCAACTACAAGACTATTGCAGAAATAAAAGGAATTAACATTATAATCTTCTTCTGATAACTGTCAATTTACCCCCATCTGCTGCACGATAGTGCGAAGTGAAACACACCTGTTGGTTCGCTGTTTACACTGTAAGATCTGGCGGCAAAAGTCAGATCAGGCGGCAAAAGTCAGATCATTAGAGAGTCATATTCACAGACTTACAACGTAACTATGAATAGGCGTTTCTGGGCATTCCCAACACTCACGATTATATAAGCAGTCTTTATTTAAACCACAAAGGCCCATAATACCGACACACGCCTTTCAGCCATAGAAAAGTACTATAAGTCTGTAAATATAAAAGCTTTATCTAAAATTCACAACCAATATCAGTGTCAGTAGATATAATATATTGCATTTCTACATGACTAAGCCTTCCGTTCTACAGCCCTTTTCTTTCCAGATAATGCACTAAAACGGTAAACAGAAGAAATAATATTACTTCACAAAAAGCAAACCAACATAGTTTATGTTGAATGTTTACGTTTGACCATATATAGTCATCCAGCGCAACCATTCAAGCTGCAAGCACACTTCCGTACGTATACAACACGAAATGGCTATACTTAGTCACTATGTGGGCAAAAAATCTAAAGTGTTTGATAGACAAATGTCCTTTCACGGTTTACTCAACAAATATGTTTGGAAATTTCGAGCAACCAACTAACAGATCAGTTTGGTATGCCAGACCATTTGAAGTTTGGTTGTCAAGGCGACGACGCATGCTAAGCATGGTCTGTTTGGCAAGCATTGTTGATGTTTCATGTTTTCTGTTTCATACCGTTTGAAGCAAAATTTTGTTTAGACTGAGACAGAAATGTTATGGGTTAATAACCTGAGGACATTGGGGTACTTTTATATCGGCATACTAGTACTAGAATTAATTTTATAATGCGCCCAGGTTTTATTATAGAACTGTATTACTGGCTCAATCGTGTTAGTAATATAATTAATAATAGGAGCAAATGCTCCTTTTTTTTCAAAATCTATAATCAAAATATATTTTCAAAGTCACATGAAATATCCACAAAGCAACAGACCAAACACTCTACTTGTATAAAGTGAGCATTGAGCAACGCTGTATAATTTGGTGTCGATCTACTCAACTCACACTTGAAAATACAATATTTGCATGCACAATTTATGCTTACAGTGTGCTCAATTGAAACCGAAACTCGTTCGTATGTGTGTTATTTGCAACTAACAGACATGATTTTGGGAAGAATTAGGACTTGACCTCCCAGCATGAAATTCGCGCATGTTTCAACACTTTGTCTCAGCTCCTGTGCGTGAGTAAAATATTGCAATGACATTTTACCAATGGGAATTTCGCTTGAAATTTCGCCTAAACCTGTCGCATTTACAAAGAAAAATTTGTGTTCTAAGTGTTTAGCTATATGTGGTTTAAAATGCCATTTTAATAAAACCACCTCACAGGAAAAGCTTAGGTTTCCTTAAGTTTGACGTGTAACGATTCACAAAACTCGAGTTTCAAAATAAGACGGAAGTGGATCATTGGATCAAATCGCATGCAACATCAGCAAGGGAGTGGGTGGGTGGAAATTAAAATTTTTCGTCTCGCTGAAAATTTCTATATCTGGGGACAAAATACGGCGAGATATGCCCAAATTTTGTGTGTATAGTTTTTAACAATACAGCCATTTTGCCATAGAAATTGGAGAAAAATCCAGCCAAGGTCTTCGGCTCGTGCTAATATAACGATCGTACGGTTTCCCGGTCTGCGCAACGATCTGACCAATGAGGTTGTAGATTACCAAATATGGCAAGTAATGCTGTACTGTCAGTGTGATTGTACTATGCAAATACGCTGGCTTTATTCGTCTGTTTGAGGAATACAAAAGAGTTTTACAACAATTGTAATATATGAATATTCCCTGTAAAATATTCCCCAGTTCGCCATGAAATTGCGCAAAGACGCAGGGTGTGTTAGCTACGAATGCGCACTTGATGAAAACACATAATTGCGTTTGAAAAAGGGTGTTTTTCTGTGCGTTTTTGCCCTCATAAGGCAATTTGTTGTGTGGCACACACATGTCAGCACATTTCCCATGAGGCACTTAGGGCGTGTATTTCCCTCTTTGTTGCTCTCATTATAAAATAGCGCAGACTGTTGGACAACAACATCATTTCTCTGCTGCTGTTGTCTGTGTGAGGAGCTGCTGTTCAACTCGAAGAACGTTTTAAAATTTTACAACAACTTATAAAATGGACGACGACGTTGCTGCTTTAGTTGTTGATAATGGATCAGGTATGTGCAAAGCTGGTTTCGCCGGCGACGATGCACCAAGAGCTGTTTTCCCCTCCATCGTCGGTCGTCCTCGCCATCAAGGTGTGATGGTTGGTATGGGCCAGAAGGATTCGTATGTTGGCGACGAGGCCCAAAGCAAAAGAGGTATCCTTACCTTGAAATACCCCATCGAACACGGCATCGTCACAAACTGGGACGATATGGAAAAGGTAGGTTGTAATCGAGTTTTGATCGTTTCTGCTGTATAGTACTGTGTGCTTCCTTGAGATTTGAATGTGAACGCCCTGTTAAATCGTGCTTTGTTCTCGCCTAGATCTGGCATCATACCTTCTACAACGAACTTCGAGTTGCTCCCGAAGAACACCCCGTTTTATTGACAGAAGCCCCACTTAACCCCAAGGCCAACAGAGAGAAGATGACACAGGTACGTTTCTGTTTTATTATTTACATAAATATAGCGGCATATAACGTTGTCTAAAATGTGTAACTTGAATTATACTGTGGGACGCCCACATTTCTAGTATATTCTGTCCAAACTCGTGCTTAAAACTTCGATTCCCGAAAATATATCGTAAAATTTGAGAATCTTTGTTTACCATTTAGAATTGGTTAGAAAGTCGCAATTCAAGCATTAGAATCGATCGGAAAGTCGCAATTATCGATGCGAAAGTCGCAATTTAGCATGAACGTGCATTCTAATTAAATACCTGAGACGGATTATTGCGAAATTGTGCCAAAGACGAGTAGGCGTGTTCATTTGAGAGTCTGTTTGTTCCTGCTTTGTGCGCGGTTTTAAAAAGGCTTTTAGTGCAAAAATTGTGCAGCAAATGAGTAAAGATTTTAATCAGTGGGTTAAAGTTGTAATCTTTGATATAAAATATTAATTCTGTTTATCTTTATAGATCATGTTTGAAACCTTCAACACCCCAGCTATGTATGTAGCCATTCAGGCTGTGTTGTCCCTGTATGCTTCTGGTCGTACCACAGGAATCGTGTTCGACAGTGGTGATGGTGTCTCCCACACTGTACCAATTTATGAAGGTTATGCCTTGCCTCACGCCATCCTTCGTCTTGATTTGGCCGGCCGTGATCTTACTGATTACCTGATGAAAATCTTGACGGAGAGAGGTTACTCATTCACCACAACCGCTGAACGAGAAATCGTCCGTGATATCAAAGAGAAATTGGCCTATGTAGCATTGGACTTTGAACAAGAAATGGACACTGCTGCAAGCAGTTCTAGCTTGGAGAAGGCCTATGAGCTTCCTGACGGTCAAGTTATCACTGTTGGTAATGAGCGATTCCGATGCCCAGAAGCACTCTTCCAACCATCATTCCTCGGAATGGAATCTGCTGGTATCCATGAAACCTGCTACAACTCCATCATGAAATGCGACGTTGATATCAGGAAAGATCTGTATGCTAACACCGTGTTGTCTGGTGGTTCTACTATGTTCCCTGGTATTGCCGACAGAATGCAGAAAGAAATCACTGCTCTCGCTCCACCTACAATGAAAATCAAGGTGATTGCTCCGCCAGAAAGGAAATACTCTGTCTGGATCGGTGGCTCCATCCTGGCTTCCCTCTCGACCTTCCAACAAATGTGGATCTCGAAACAGGAATACGACGAATCTGGCCCATCAATTGTCCACAGGAAATGCTTCTAAAATATCGGACTATCTGCAGCAAAAACACTGACTGTCGTTCAAATTTTTGCCACTTTATCGGTGTGTATGTGTGCACTACAAGTAGCATTAAATTGAACTTTAAAATAGGAAGAAAAAGCTTTTGTAGAGTGAAACGTGTGACTTGTATTCATTTTGTAATTAAATTCTTGTAGGAACAAATTAAAAAAATTCTATTTATCAAAATCCTGTTTGCATCTTTATTCTGTTATTTCACCCAGCTGCTAGTCCTCTGCCCTGTCTAGTTGTTTTTGGTATTGTGTCTCTTGTCTGATATTAGTGTGAAACTTGGGCTTTATTTCAAAGTCCTCTGACGATGACCGTGAAATAATGTTGAAAGTTTGGTAATATTCTCCTGTTTTGCTCACAAGTCTGGTGGTAATGTCTTGTAATCCTAACCCCTTGTGTGCAAAACGTGGTAATATATTTGATAATATACAGAGTGTCCCAAAAAAAACCCTCTATAGAAATTTATCCTATTGTTAAGCACAGGATTTTATGCGACTGGTAATTAAAAATTCAATTCAATTGTGTTTACGCACTCTTGTGTTAAACATAGTGTTCAGGCATTCAAATTATAACAATAGGGTAATTTCTATAGAGAGTACTTTTTTGGGGATACCCTGTACATTTTAGAAAGAAACCACTCTCCAAAGTGATGTAATGAAGTAGGATGCATTGCACCCACAGGGTTTAACCCAATCAGCTGCAATGCTCCCGATTTTACTATTTGACTGTAACGCCAGTCGAGTAAAGTCGGTAGAGTCCGGTGCTTTCCAGGTGAATTCCTATCAGTTACAGTCGCTCCTTTGTTTTCAACTTTTCAAAACTACTCAATTCCTGTAAAGGTGGTTGGTCGGGTCAGACAGTAAAGTAACAAATAGGGCACATTAGCATTCTGTGCGCGCAGAATTCTTAAGGTGGATCTCCATTCAGTGCAAAATGTCGCACGATCGATTTTTTTGTGACTTTTGAAATGTGTGCAGTCAACTTCAGCTAATGAGATTTGCTCCGTTTGACTGTTTGTATTTCAAAAGAAAGCGATCGCAAAAAGTCAATCGCGCAAAATTTTGCACTGAACGGAAATTCGCCTTTAGGGAATGCCGAATGCGAATTTCTGTCTCTGTAGGCATTGCTGCATACGACTTCACAAAGACGTGCGCAGATAATCTTGGTAACCTACGTTACCTACCCAACACTTTCCTATTCACAAGTTATTAATTAAAAGGGGACATAATCTCAACCTAATCTTATTCCTAACCTTTGGGACACGTACTAAAGTCCTTTGCAGCATGACGTCACAAGTATGACAATGAATGATTGAATGGCATGGAGAACAGTGGGAATTTCACAACATGTACAATGGAAAAGACAATGGAAAGGATTGGGGTTTGACTTGTGGTTGGGATAAACTCCGTAGGGAAAAAATACTCAAAAAAAAACTTTAAAAAAAAATTTTTTCCTGTACTCAAAACATTTTCTGATATTTTGTTTTTCAGAGTGTTATCCTTGTTGAAAAAGTGGAAAATTTGAAAATGAAACATGCAGAGTTGACCATGAATGCCACTGGAGTGAAGAAAAAGATTGAACACACAAAACTACAACATATGTAGCCGCAGTATGGTAAAATATTTTATTATTTGTTAAAAAAGTATTCGTAATATGTAGTGTAAATATGGGGTAACAAAAAATAAATAAGGCACACAAGTAGACCTTGCCCTTTTGACAACATTAATTTGATTCTCTTGTCTGCTTCCGACAGTTAGCATGTGTTGCAGGGCAGCAGATGGTCGTCAAAAATGTCCACAAGAAAATTAACGAGAAAAGTAATCTACATCTGTCTATTCTATTTATTTGCCTCAAAAATACAAAACTACATGTACTGCTATAATGAAAAGAATTAACATAATTTTCTCACTCTGGTAACTGCAGGTTGAGCACAATCTGCTGCACGACAGTGCTCAGTGAAACCTACTCAATAACATAACTTATATAGCAGTGGTGAAACAGGTCGATCATGCCATGAAAATTTTAATATTCAAACTTTAGAAATGTTTTGTCTTTAACATATTTAAATGCAGGTTTATTAGCATAGCATGACCAGTTGCCATGGCTGTAGCTTTGTCATTGTTATATATAGATTAAAATAAGGTCTAAAGTGAGGATTTTTAAATTTCAAAGTGCTTGCACTCAGCAATATGAACAATTTACTGTCATCACGCTGAAGGACACTTGTGGATAACAGCTGGTCCTAGTTCGCCATATTGCTCTTTTGTAATCCACATTTCTTTAAACGTCGACAAACTCGCAAGAATTGAACCACCGATCCAAACGCTGTTCTTTCTATGTTCTGGCGCAATTACTTTGACTTCCATTGCAGCTGGGACAAGCCCTTGGATCTCTTTTGTCAATCGTTCTGGAAGCCCAGGGAACATTGTACAGCCTCCAGATAGTACTATGTTTTTATACAACAATGGATGCATTTCAAAATCACATTTTGAGATAGTATCAAAGCACATTTTGTGAATCCCTTCTTCGATATCATATTCATTAAGGTTTCCTAGCAGAGAAGGTTTGAATAACACTTCTGGACATCGGAACTTCTCGTCATGAGGGGTGATAATTTCCCCGTCCGGCAATTCATATGATTCATCCTCAACTTTAGCTTTCTTTGAGGGCGATTGCATTTCTTCCTCAAAATCCAAAGCCACATAACATAACTTTTCAAGCATATTTTGAGCATGATCCAAAAAGTCACAATAATTGCTCATGTTATAACCGCCTTCTGTTAGTATTTTTGCGAGATTTAGTCTGAGGTCATGGCCACCAAGTTTGAGACAGGTAGAAGCGCCAGGTATAGCAAAACCTTTGTCAACTGGTGTGACCTGGGTGGCACCTGCACCAATACTTAACGCTGTGCCTGCCTGACGTCCTGCAGCATACAATGATAGCACGGTTTGAATGCCAATGAACATTGCTGGAGTGTTAAACTTTTCCATCATTACCTTAATAAACACACCACAAGTGTGAGAAATTTACATCCAACTTTTACATCCAATGTTATAGCTTTCCATAGCGACATGAAAAACACCTATCTGTAGCTTTTACGAATGCTATTTTCAGAGTTATTATTGCCACAGAGAGATGTTGTTCTGCTCCGCTTCTGAAAGTTGTACATTCCTTATTGGATAGGTGCTTTTTCGCGCCGCTAATGGAAAGGTCAGCCAAGATTTTGATATAGAATTACCTCGGCCATTTTTTCTCTGGTAGCTCTGGGGTTATTTACTGCTTCGGTTAGAAACACAGGATGTTCTTCGGATGGCACTGCAAGTTGCTCAAATGCATGTTGCCAAATCTATAATAGATAATATTGACCAATTAAGAAAATGTTGACATGAGACTATTGAATACAGAATGGATTTTGTATGGCTACAATCCTGGCAAAAATTATGTGGACACCTAACTTTCCTAACGCCAACATTAACACTGAGACGTTCATTCGTGAAATTTGTCACCCCCTGCCCCCTATTCAATGTTGATTCTCGCATTCAAATTTTAAAAGTTTCATTTACCAACATTGAGTTGGGGGTAGGAGGGGGAGAAATTTTCTGGCGGATAAATTATGCAGAAATATATCTATTTTTGTTTGACGCACGCGCTGTCCACGATAATTTTTGCCAGGATTGTCTGAAATTATCACATATTTCCAACTGCCTGATTTCATGAATTTAAGGCTCGATCCAAGATAAAATAGGCTTGTTTGTTTAGCAAAAGGAGCAAACAATTAGTAAATCAGGTTATATTTAGTTTTTTACTTTCCGATCTATGTTAAGTGTCACCTATCACATTACATGTCAAGTGGCCTTTTACGTATTATCGGGATTTATACAATTACAACTTAGTCTGCAACTCTAAAAAAAAATATATTCGTTTTACAAATTATTGAACATTGTGGAGAACGACGATGTCTTACAGTACTTAGTCAGACAGTGGAAAATGTTCAGCCAAAAAATGCGAGGTTTGTTTACCTCATAACTTAGAGCCAAACAGATCTATCTTGACTTTAGTTCCTGAGCGTGAATCATTTGCATTATTGGTAATATACATGCATTTCATAATGCAGATCCTTTGTTAGCCTGCAACATTTTGCAATGGGTTTGCAGCATGGAGCATCATATTCCCGTGTATTCATACAATATAACTGTATAAAACTGTACAAATGTGTAAGTAATGTTATTTTGAAAGTGTAGTAAATTGATACAGTACACGGCTATGTAGCGTAACCAAATTCACACTAAATATAATAGACTATAGGGTTATTTTAGTGTATACGCATCCGAAGCGCTCACTATTTTCAGATTTTTTTGTACCAAGCGCAACCCAACAGCGACTATAGAGCGCCTTTAATCTAACAGTGACGTCACACGGTACACGGCTGTGTATCGTATAGTAAAGAATACACAGCTTAAATATTTTAATCACCACACTACACAGCCGTGTACCGTGTGACGTCACTGGTAGATTATACGCGCTCTACAGTCGCCGTTGGGCTGCGTTTGTTATAAAAAATCTGAAAATAGTGAGCGCTTCGGATGCGTATACACAAAAATATATTTAGTGAGAATTTGGTTCCGCACTTAAAGTACTTTTGTTGAAAACTCGTCTTACTGCGTCTGCATAATTAGTTCAGCAAAGCGTATATCATGCCCAAAAGCCGCTCACCCACAAAATTATAAATATGCTTTAAAAAACAATTAAACCAGTTTAAACAATCTGTTTGTTATCCTAAAACAATGGCAGCATCAAAAATTTATAGTAAAAGGCCTGTTAATTAAACCAGTTTAAACAATCTGTTTGTTATCCTAAAACAATGGCAGCATCAAAAATTTATAGTAAAAGGCCTGTTTTGGGTGAAAATTATGGATATTTTTTTTAGGTCATTTTCAGACAATCCTGGCAAAAATTATGTGGACACCTAACTTTCCTAACGCCAACATTAACACTGAGACGTTCATTCGTGAAATTTGTCACCCCCTGCCCCCTATTCATTGTTGATTCTCGCATTCAAATTTTAAAAGTTTCATTTACCAACATTGATTCTCGCATTCAAATTTTAAAAGTTTCATTTACCAACATTGAGTTGGGGGTAGGAGGGGGAGAAATTTTCTGGCGGATAAATTATGCAGAAATATATCTATTTTTGTTTGACGCACGCGCTGTCCACGATAATTTTTGCCAGGATTGTAGCTTTGCATTTAAATTTGTCTGGAACTTGAGATCAGAATTCATCTGTGCTGTTTGAACGCCTTTTATTAACCTTTGAACATGACCAGATCTGGTTTTGCCTGTAATTTTGGCACAACCATTGAAATGCTGTCGCCATGGTCCTAGCCAATGCACTTACGAGAGGCATTCACCTCCCTGAGAATATTGAAAATGGCAGATGTTCGGGGGTGAATAACCACACTGGCTGGACCATGGTGACAGTATTTTGACGATGAATCATGACGTGGCAGCAAATTAAGGTTCTTGGCAGTGAGGACAAGTATCCTGGTTGTGAGGACAAGGTTCCGGACGCTGAGGATAAGGTGGCCGGCGCTGAGGACAAGGTTGTTGGCGTTGAGAAAAAGGCTCCTGGCGGTAAGGACGAGGCTCCTGGCGTTGAGGACATTGTTCCTGGCGGTGAGGACAAGGTTCCTGCCGGTGAGGGCAAGTTCCTGGCGGTCAGGACAAAGTTTTTGGCGGTGAGGACGAGGTTCCTGGCGGTGAGGACAAGGTTCCTGGCGGTGAGGACAAGGTTCCTGGCGGTGAGGCCAAGGTTCCTGGCGGTGAGGACAACGTTCCTGGCGGTGAGGACAAGCTTCCTGCCGGTGAGAACAAGGTTTCCGGCTGTAAAAAATGTTTCTGACGCTGAAGACAAGGTTCCTACCGGTGAGGAGATGGTTCGTGCCAATGCGGACAAGGTTCCTGGCGGTGAGGACAAGGTTCCTGCTGGTGAGGACAAGGTTCCTGCGGTGAGGACAAGGTTCCTGGCGATGAGGACAAGGTTTCTGGCGGTGAGGACAAGGTTCCTGACGCTGAGAACACGGTTCCTGACGCTGAGGACAAACTTTCTGGCATTGAGGACAAGGTTCCTGGCGGCGAGGACAAAAGTTCCTGGCGGTGAGGACAAGGTTGCTGGCGGTGAGCACAAGGTTGCTGACGCTGAGGACAAGGTTCCTGGTGAAGATTACATGGTTCCTGACGGTGAGGACATGGTTCCTTGCGGCGAGGAAGACGTTCCTGACGCTGAGGACAATGTTCGTGACGCTGAAGACAAGGTTCTTGTCGGTGAGGACAAGGTTTCTGTCGGTCAGGATAAGATACCTGGCGGTGAGAACAAGGTTCCTGGCCGTGAGGACAGGGTTCCTGCCGGTGAGGACAAGGTTCCTGCCGGTGAGGACAAGGTTCCTGGCGATCAGGACAAGGTTTCTGGCTCTGAGAACAAGGTTCCTGACGCTCAGGAGAAGGTTCCTGATGAAGAGGACAAGGTTTCTTGCGGTGGGGACAAGGTTCCTGGCGGTGAGGAAAAGGATCCTGACGCTGAGGACAAGGTTCCTGACGCTGAGGACAAGGTTTCTGTCGTTGAGGACAACGTTCGTGGCGATGAGGACAAGGTTCCTGGCGATAAGGACAAGGTATCTGGCGGTGAGGACAAGGTTCCTGCCGGTGAGGACAAGGCTCCTGCCGGTGAGGACAATGTTCCTGCCGGTGAGGACAAGGTTCCAGCCGGTAAAGAAAAGGTTCCTGGCTGTGAGGCAAGGCTCCTCGCGGTGAGGACAAGGTTCCTGGCGGTGAGGCCAAGGTTCATGACGCTGAGGACAAGGTTCCTGGTGAAGAGGACAAGGATTCCAGGCGGTGAGGACAAGGTTCCTTGCGGCGAGGACAAGGTTCCTGACGCTGAGGACAATGTTCCTGACGCTGAGGACAAGGTTCCTGTCGGTGAGGACAAGGTTCCTGTCGGTGAGGACAAGGTTCCTGGGGGTGAGAAGAAGGTTCCCGGCGGTGAGGACAAGGTTCCTGACGATGAGGTCCAGGTTACTGGCGGTGAGGACAAGGTTCCTGCCGGTGAGGACAAGGTTCCTGCCGGTGAGGACAAGATTCCTGGTGATGAGAACAAGGGTTCTGGCGGTGAGGACAAGTTTCCTGACGCTGAGAACAAGGTTGCTGACGCTGAGGACAAGGTTCCTGGCGGTGAGAACAAGGTTCCTGGCGGTGAGGACAAGGTTCCTGGCGATGAGGTCCTGGTTACTGGCAGTGAGGACAAGGTTCCTGCCGGTGAGGACAAGGTTCCTGCCGGTGAGGACAAGATTCCTGGCGATGAGGACAAGGGTTCTGGCGGTGAGGACAAGTTTCCTGACGCTGAGAACAAGGTTCCTGACGCTGAGGACAAGGTTCCTGGCGGTGAGGACAAGGTTCCCTGGCGTTGAGGACAAGGTTCCTGACGGTGAGGCCAATGTTGCTGGCGTTGAGGCCAAGGTTCCTGACGCTGAGGACAAGGTTCCTGGTGAAGAGGACAATGTTTCTTGCAGTGAGGACAAGGTTCTTGGCGGTGAAGAAAAGGATCCTGACGCTGAGGACAGGGTTCCTGTAGTTGAGGACAACGTTCCTGGCGGTGAGGACAAGGTGCCTGGCGGTGAGGACGAGGTTTTTGGCGATGCCGACAAGGTCCCTGGCGATGAGGACATGGTATCTGGCGGTGAGGACAAGGTTCCTGCCGGTGAGGACAAGGTTCCTGCCGGTGAGAACAAGGTTCCTGGCGGTGACGCAATGTTCCTGGCGGAGACGACAGGGTTCCTGGTGGTGAGGACAATCTTGCTGCCGATGAGGACATGGTTCCTGGCGGTGAGGAAAAGGTTCCTGCCTGTGAGGACAAGGTTCCTGCCAGTGAGGACAAGGTTTCTGGCGGTGAGGCCAAGGCTCATGACGCTGAGGACAAGGTTCCTGGTGAAGAGGACAAGGATTCCTGGCGGTGAGGACAAGATTCCTGGCAGTGAGGACGAGGTTCCTGGCGGTGAGGACAAGTTCCCGGCAGTGACGGCAAGGCTCCTGGCGGTGGGCGGTGACGGCAAGGTTCCTGGTGTTGCGAACAAGGTCCCTGGCGCTGAGGACAGGGTTCCTGACGGTGAGGACAAGGTTCCTCGCGGTGAGGACAAGGTTCTTGGCGGTGAGGACAAGGTTCCTGGCGTTGAGGACATGGTTGCTGGCGGTGAGAACAGGGTTTCTGGCATTGAGGACAAGGTTCCTGGCGTTGAGAACTAGGTTTCTGACGGGGAGGACAATGTTCCTGCCGGTGAGGAGAAGGTTCCTGCCGGTGAGGACAAGGTTCTTGGCGGCGAGAACAAGGTTTCTTCCATTGAGGACAAGGTTCCTGTCGTTGAGGACAACGTTCCTGACGGTGAGGACAAGGTTCCTGGCAGTGAGGTCAAGGTTCCTGGCGGTGAGGACAAGTTCCCGGCAGTGACGGCAAGGTTCCTGGCGGTGACGATAAGTTTCCTATCGGTGACGACAAGGTTCCTGCCGATGAGCTCATAGTTTCTGGCGGTGAGCAGAAGGTTGCTGCTGGTGAGGACAAGGTTCCTGCCAGTGAGCGCAAGGATCCTGGCGGTGAGGACAAGGTTCCTGGCGATGACGACAAGGTTCCTGGCGGTGAAGACAAGGTTTCTGACGGGAAGGACAATGTTCCTCCCGGTGAGGAGAAGGTTCCTGGCAGTAAAAACAAGGTTTCTTGCATTGAGTACAAGGTTCCTGTCGTTGAAGACAACGTTCCTGGCGGTGAGGAGAAGGTTCCTGGGAGTGAGGACAAGGTTCCTGGCGGTGAGGACAAGTTCCCGGCAGTGACGGCAAGGTTCCTGGCGGTGACGACAAGTTTCCTGGCGGTGACGTCAAGGTTCCTGCCGGTGAGCTCATGGTTTCTGGCGGTGAGCAGAAGGTTGCTGCTGGTGACGACAAGGTTCCTGCCAGTGAGCACAAGGATCCTGGCGATGAGGACAAGGTTCCTGGCGATGAGGACAAGGTTCCTGGCGGTGAAGAGAAGGTTTCTGACGTGGAGGACAATGTTCCTGCCGGTGAGGAGAATGTTCCTGCCGGTGAGGACAAGGTTCCTGCCGGTGTGAACAAGGTTCCTGGCGGTGAGGACAAGGACCGTGGCTGTGAGAACAAGGTTCCTGGCGGTGAGGACAAGCTTGCTGGCGGTGAGGACATGGTTCCTTGCGGCGAGGACAAGGTTCCTGACGCTGAGGACAAGGTTCCTGTCGGTAAGGACAAGGTTCCTGTCGGTCAGGACAAGATTCCTGGCGGTGAGAGCAAGGTCCTGGCCGTGAGAACAGGGTTCCTGCAGGTGAGGACAAGCTTCCTGGCGATGAGGACAAGGTTTCTGGCTCTGAGAACAAGGTTCCTACCGCTGAGGACAAGGTTCCTGATGAAGAGGACAAGGTTTCTGGGGGAGGGGACAAGGTTCCTGGCCGTGAGAAAAAAGATCCTGACGCTGAGGTGAAGGTTCCTGACGCTGAGGACAAGGTTCGTGTCGTTGAGGACAACGTTCCTGGCGGTGAGAACAAGGTTCATGGCGGTGAGGACAAGGTTCCTACCGGTGAGGACAAGGTTCCTGCCGGTGAGGACAAGGTTCCTGCCGGTAAAGACAAGGTTCCTGGCTGTCAGGACAAGATTCCTGGCGGTGAGAACAAGGTTCCTTGCAGTGAGGACAGAGTTCCAGCCGGTGAGGACAAGGTTCCTGCCGGTGAGGACAAGCTTCCTGGCGATGAGGACAAGGCTTCTGGCTCTGAGAACAAGCTTCCTGGCGATGAGGACAAGGCTTCTGGCTCTGAGAACAAGGTTCCTGGCGCTGAGGACAAGGTTCCTGATGAAGAGGACAAGGTTTCTGGGGGTGGGGACAAGGTTCCTGCCGGTGAGGAAAAAGATCCTGACGCTGAGGTGAAGGTTCCTGACGCTGAGGACAAGGTTCCTGTCGTTGAGGACAACGTTCCTGGCGGTGAGGACAAGGTTCATGGCGGTGAGGACAAGCTTTCTGCCGTTGAGGAAAAGGTTCCTGCCGGTGAGGACAAGGTTCCTGGCGGTGAGGACAAGGTTAATGGCGGTGAGGACAAGGTTCCTGCCGATGAGGACAGGGTTCCTGGCGACGAGGACAAGGTTCCTGCCGGTGAGGACAAGCTTCCTGGCGATGAGGACAAGGTTTCTGGCTCTGAGAACAAGGTTCCTACCGCTGAGGACAAGGTTCCTGATGAAGAGGACAAGGTTCCTGGCGGTGAGGACAAGGTTCCTGGCGGTGAGGCCAAGGTTCATGACGCTGAGGACAAGGTTCCTGGTGAAGAGAACAAGGTTCCAGGCGGTTAGGACAAGGGTCCTTGCGGCGAGAACAAGGTTCCTGACGTTGAGGACAATGTTCCTGACGCCGAGGACAAGGTTCCTGTCGGTGAGCACAAGGTTCCTAGTGGTGAGGACAAGGTTCCTGGCGGTAAGGACAAGGTTCCTGGCCGTGACGAAAAGGTTCCTGGCGCTGACGACAAGGTTCGTGCCGTTGAGGACAAGCTTTCTGCCGTTGAGGACAAGGTTCCTGCCGGTGAGAACAAAAGTTCCTGGCGGTGAGGACAAGGTTGCAGACGGTGAGCACAAGGTTGCTGGCGGTGAGGAGAACGTTCCTGACGGTGAGGACAAGGTACCTGGCGGTGAGGAGAAGGTTCCTGGCGAAGAGGACAAGGTTCCTGGCGATGAGGACAAGGTATCTGGGGGTGAGGAGATGGTTCCTGCCGGTGAGGACAAGGTTCCCGGCGGTGAGGACAAGGTTCCTGCCGGTGAAGACTAGGTTCCTGCCCGTGAGGGCAAGGTTCCTGCAGTGAGGACAAGGATCCTGGCGGTGAGGACAAGGTTCTTGGCGGTGAGGCGAAGGTTCATGACGCTGAGGACAAGGTTCCTGGTGAAGAGGACAAGGTTCCTGGCGGTGAGGACATGGTTCCTTGCGGCGAGGACAAGGTTCCTGACGCTGAGGACAAGGTTCCGGTTGGTGAGGACAAGTTTCCTGTCGGTCAGGACAAGATTCCTGGCGGTGAGAACAAGGTTCCTGGCCGTGAGGACAGGGTTCCTGCCGGTGAGGACAAGGTTCCTGCCGGTGAGAACAAGCTTCCTGGCGATGAGGACAAGGTTTCTGGCTCTGAGAACAAGGCTCCTGGCGCTGGGGACAAGGTTCCTGATGAAGAGGACAAGGTTTCTGGGGGTGGGGACAAGGTTCCTGGCGGTGAGAAAAAAGATCCTGACGCTGAGGTGAAGGTTCCTGACGCTGAGGACAAGGTTACTGTCGTTGAGGACAACGTTCCTGGGGGTGAGGACAAGGTTCATGGCGGTGAGGACAAGGTTCCTACCGGTGAGGACAAGGTTCCTGCCGGTGAGGACAATGTTCCTGCCGGTGAGGACAAGGTTCCTGCCGGTAAAGACAAGGTTCCTGGCTGTCAGGGCAAGGCTCCTGGCGGTGAGGACAAGGTTGCCGGCGGCGAGGCCAAGGTTCATGACACTGAGGACAAGGTTCCTGGTGAAGAGGACAACGATTCCTGGCGGTGAGGACAAGGTTCCTTGCGGCGAGGACAAGGTTCCTGACGCTGAGGACAATGTTCCTGACGCTGAGGACAAGGTTCCTGTCGGTGAGGACAAGGTTCCTGTCGGTGAGGACAAGGTTCCTGGCGGTGAGAACAATGTTCCTGGCCGTGAGGACAAGGTTCCTGGCGATGAGGTCCAGGTTACTGGCGGTGAGGACAAGGTTCCTGCCAGTGAAGACAAGGTTCATGACGCTGAGGACATGGTTCCTGGTGAAGAGGACAAGGTTCCTGGCGGTGAGGACATGGTTCCTTGCGGCAAGGACAAGGTTCCTGACGCTGATGACAAGGTTCCTGTCGGTGAGGACAAGGTTCTTGCCGGTCAGGACAAGATTCCTGGCGGTGAGAACAAGGTTCCTGGCCGTGAGGACAGAGTTCCAGCCGGTGAGGACAAGGTTCCTGCCGGTGAGGACAAGCTTCCTGGCGATGAGGACAAGGTTTCTGGCTCGGAGAACAAGGTTCCTGGCGCTGAGGACAAGGTTCCTGATGAAGAGGACAAGGTTTCTGGGGGTGGGGACAAGGTTCCTGCCGGTGAGGACAATGTTCCTGCCGGTGAGGAGAAGGTTCCTGCCGGTAAAGACAAGGTTCCTGGCTGTCAGGGCAAGGCTCCCGGCGGTGAGGACAAGGTTCCCGGCGGCGAGGCCAAGGTTCATGACGGTGTTTCTCGCGGTGAGGACAAGATTCCTGGCGGTGAGGACAAACCTCCTGTCGGTGAGGACAAGGTTCCTGGCGGTGAGGCCAAGGTACATGATGCTGAGGACAAGGTTCCTGGTGAAGAGGACAAGGATTCCTGGCGGTGAGGACAAGGTTCCTTGCGGCGAGGACAAGGTCCCTGACGCTGAGGACAATGTTGCTGACGCTGAGGACAATGTTCCTGTCGGTGAGGACAAGTTTCCTGTCGGTGAGGAGAAAGTTCCTGGCGGTGAAAACAATGTTCCTGGCGGTGAGGACAAGGTTCTTGGCGATGAGGTCCAGGTTACTGCCGGTGAGGACAAGGTTCCTGCCGGTGAGGACAAGGTTCCTGCCGGTGAGGACAAGATTCCTGGCGATGAGAATAAGGTTTCTGGCGGTGTGGACAAGTTTCCTGACGCTGAGAACAAGGTTCCTGACGCTGAGGATAAGGTTCCTGGCGGTGAGGACAAGGTTCCTGGCGTTGAGGACAAGGTTCCTGGCGGTGAGGAAAAGGTTCCTGCCGGAGAGGACAATGTTTCTGGCAGTGAGGACAAGGTTCGTGGCGGTGAGGGCAAGGTTCCTGGCGGTTACGGCAAGGCTCCTGGCGGTGACGCAATGTTCCTGGCGGTGACCACAAGGTTCCTGGTGGTGAGGACACGGTTCCTGGCAATGAGGACAAGGTTCCTGGCGGTGAGAAAAAGGGTCCTGCCGGTGAGGACAAGATTCCTGGCAGTGAGGACAAGGTTCCTGGCGGTGAGGACAAGTTCCCGGCAGTGACGGCAAGGCTCCTGGCGGTGACGACAAGGTTCCTGGTGTTGAGGACAAGGTCCCTGGCGCTGAGGACAGGGTTCCAGACGGTGAGGACAAGGTTCCTGGCGGTGAGGACAAGGTTCTTGGCGGTGAGGACAAGGTTCGTGACGTTGAGGACATGGTTCCTGGCGGTGAGAACTGGGTTTCTGGCATTGAGGACAAGGTTCCTGGCGGTGAGAACTAGGTTTCTGACGGGGAGGACAATGTTCCTGCTGGTGAGGAGAAAGTTCCTGCCGGCGAGGACAAGGTTCCTGGCAGTGAGGACAAGGATCCTGGCGGTGAGGACAAGTTCCCGGCAGTGACGGCAAGGTTCCTGGCGGTGACAACAAGTTTCCTGGCGGTGACGACAAGGTTCCTGCCGGTGAGCTCATGGTTTCTGGCGGTGAGCACAAGGTTGCTGCTGGTGAGGACAAGGTTCCTGCCAGTGAGAACAAGCATCCTGGCGGTGATCACAAGGTTCCTGGCGATGAGGACCAGGTTCCTGGCGGTGATGACAAGGTTCCTGGCGTTGAGAACAAGGTTCTTGGCGGTGAGGACGAGGATCCTGGTGGTGAGGACAAGGTTCCAGACGGTGAAGACAAGGTTCCTGACGCTGACGACAAGGTTCATGACGGTGAGGACAAGGTTCCTGGCGGTAAGGATGAGGTTCCTGGCGGTGAGGATTTGTTCCTGGCGGTGAGGACAAGGTTCCTGGCGGTGAGGACAAGGTTCCTGCTGTTGAGGGCAAGTCTCCAGGAGGTGAGGACAAGGACCCTGGCGGTGAAAACAAGGTTCCTGCCGGTGGGCTCAAGGTTTCTGACGTTGAGAACAAGGTACTTGGCGGTGACGACAAGGTTCCTGGCGATGGAGACAAGGTACTTGGCGGTGACGACAAGGTTCCTGACGATGGAGGCAAGGTTCCTGGAGTTGAGAAAAAGGTTCCTGGCGGTGGGGACAAGGTTCCTGGCGATGAAGACAAGGTTCCTGGCGGTGACGGCAAGGTTCCTGGCGATGAAGACAAGGTTCCTGGCGGTGAGGACAAGGATCCTGGCGGTGAGGACAAGGTTTCTGGCGGCGTGGACAAGGTTCCTGCCGGTGAGAACAAGGTTCATGCCGGTGAGGACAAGGTTCCTTGGGGGTGAGGACAAGGTCCCTGGCCATCAGAACAAGGTTCCTGGCGGTGAAGACAAGGTTCCTGGCGGTGAGGACAACGTTCCTGGCGGCGAGGACAAGGTTGCTGGCGGTGAGGACATGGTTTCTGGCTGTGAGAACAAAGTTTCTGACGCTGAGGAGAATGTTCCTACCAGAGAGGGCAAGGTTCCTGCCAGTGAGGACAGTGTTGCTTCCGGTGAGGACAAAGTTTCTGCCGGTGAGGACATGGTTCCTGTCGGTGACGGCAAGGTTCCTGGCGGTGACGACAAGGTTCCTGCCTGTGAGCTCAAGGTTTCTGGCGGTGAGCACAAGGTTGCTGCTGGTGAGGACAAGGTTCTTGCCAGTGAGAACAAGGTTTCTGGCGTTGAGGACATGGTTCCTGGCGGTGAGAAGAAGGTTTCTGGCGGTGAGAACAAGCTTCCTGGCGCTGAGGACAAGGTTTATGAAGGGGAGGACAATGTTCCTGCCGGTGAGGACAAGGTTCCTGCCGGTGAGGAAAATTTTCCTGCCGGTGACAACAATGTTCCTGGCGGTGACAACAAGGACCCTGGCGGTGAGAACAATGTTCCTGACGGCGACGACAAAGTTCCCGGATGTTACGGCAAGGTTCCTGGCGATGACTCTATGTTCCTGGCGGTGAGGACAAGGTTCCTAGTGGTGAGGACAAGGTTCATGGGGATGAGGACAAAGTTCCTTGCGTGAGAACGAGGTTCCTGGCTGTGAGGACAAGGTTCCTAGCGGTGAGGACAAGGTGCATGGCGGTGAGGACAAGGTTTCTGGCGGTGAGGCCAAGCTTCCTGACGCTCGGGACAAGGGTCCTGACGGTGACGACAAGGTTCCTGTCGGTGATGACAAGGTTCCTGTCGGTGATGACAAGGTTTCTGGTGATGAGGACAAGGTTCCTGGGCGTGAGAACAAGGTTCCTGGCGGTGAGGGCAAGGTTCTTGGCGGTGAGGAAAAGGATCCTGGTGGTGAGAACAAGGTTCCAGACGCTGAGGACAAGTTTCCTGATGCTGAGGACAAGGTTCCTGCTGGTGAGGACAAGTTTCCAGGCGGTGAGGACAAGTTTCCAGGCGGTGAGGACAAGGACCCTGGCGGTGAGGACAACGTTCCTGCCGATGGGCTCAAGGTTTCTGACGTTGAGCACAAGGTTGCTGCTGGTGAGGACAAGGTTCCTGGTTGTGAGGACAAGGCACTTGGCGGTAAGGACAAGGTTCCTGGAGTTGAGGACAAGGTTCCTGGGGTTGAGAAAAAGGTACCTGGCGGTGAGGACAAGGTTTCTGGCGGTGAGGCCAAGCTTCCTGACGCTCGGGACAAGGGTCCTGACGGTGACGACAAGGTTCCTGTCGGTGATGACAAGGTTCCTGTCGGTGATGACAAGGTTTCTGGTGATGAGGAGAAGGTTCCTGGGCGTGAGAACAAGGTTCCTGGCGGTGAGGGCAAGGTTCTTGGCGGTGAGGAAAAGGATCCTGGTGGTGAGAACAAGGTTCCAGACGCTGAGGACAAGTTTCCTGATGCTGAGGACAAGGTTCCTGCTGGTGAGGACAAGTTTCCAGGCGGTGAGGACAAGTTTCCAGGCGGTGAGGACAAGGACCCTGGCGGTGAGGACAACGTTCCTGCCGTGGGCTCAAGGTTTCTGACGTTGAGCACAAGGTTGCTGCTGGTGAGGAGAAGGTTCCTGGTGGTGAGGACAAGGCACTTGGCTGTAAGGACAAGGTTCCTGGGGTTGAGGACAAGGTTCCTGGGGTTGAGAAAAAGGTACCTGGCGGTGAGGAAAAGGTTCCTGGCGGTGAGGACAAGGTTCCTGGCGGTGACGGCAAGGTTCCTGGCGGTGAGGACAAAGTTCCGGGCGGTTACGGCAAGGTTCCTGGCGATGAAGACAAGGTTCCTGGCGGTGAGGACAAGGTTCCTGGCGGTGAGGACAAGTTTTCTGGCGGCGAGGACAAGGTTCCTGCCGGTGAGACCAAGGTTCATGCCGGTGAGGACAAGGTTCCTGGGGGTGAGTACAAGGTCCCTGGCCATCAGGACAAAGTTCCAGGGGGTGAGGACAATGTTCCTGGCGGTGAGGACATGGTTCATGGCGGTGAGGACAAGGTTCCTGCTAGTGAGGACAAGGTTCCTGGAGGGGAGGACAATGACCCTGGGGTTAAGTCAAGGTTCCTGGCGGTGACGGCAAGGTTCCTGGCGGTTACGGCAAAGTTCCTGCCGGTGACGACAAGGTTCCTGCCGGTAAAGACAATGTTCCTGGCGGTGAGGAAAAGGATCCTGGCGGTGAGGACGAGGTCCCTGGTGATGAGGAAAAGGGTCTCACGCTGAAGACAGGGTTTCTGACGCTGAGGACGAGGTTCCTGGCGGTGAGGACATGGTTCATGGCGGTGAGAACAAGGTACCTGGCGGTGAGGACAAGGTTCCTTGCGGAGCGACAAGCTGTTTGGCGGTGAGGACAAGGTTCCTAGCGGTGAGGACAAGGTTCATGGCGGTGAGGACAAGGTTTCTGGCGGTGAGGCCAAGGTTCCTGACGCTCGGGACAAGGTTCCTGACGGTGAGGACAAGGTTCCTGTCGGTGATGACAAGGTTCCTGTCGGTGATGACTAGGTTTCTGGTGATGAGGACAAGGTTCCTGGTGGTGAGGACAAGGCTCCTGGCGATGAGGCCAAGGCTTCTGGCGGTGAGGACAAGGTTCCTGCCGGTGAGGACAAGGTTCCTGCCGGTAAGGACAAGGTTGATGGCGGTGAGTACAAAGTTGCTGCCGGTGAGGACAAGGTTGCTGGCGGTGAGAACAAGTTTCCGGGCGGTGAGGTCAACATTCCTGGCGGGGAGGACAAGGTTCCTGGCTGTGAGGACAAGTTTCTTGGCGGTGAGGACAATGTTCCTGGAGGTGAGGACAAGGTTCCTGGCGATGAGGAGAACGCTCCTAACGGTGAGGACAAGATTCCTGACGCTGAGAACAAGGCTCCTGAAGCTGAGGACAAGGTTCCTGGCGGTTTAGGACAGGGTTCCTGGCCGTGAAGGCAAGGTTCCCGGCGGTGAGGACAAGTTCAGTGGCGGGAGGGCAAGGTTTATGGCGGTGTGGGCAAGGTTCATGGAGGTGACGGTATGGCTTCTGGCTGTGAGGACAAAGCTCCTGACGTTGAGACAAGGTTCCTGCCGGTGAGAAAAGATTCCTGCCGGTGACGGCAAGGTTCCTGGCGGTGACGACAACGTTCCTGGCGGTGACGACAAGTTTCCTGGTGGTGTGGACAAGGTCCCTGACGCTGAGGACAAGGTTCTTGACGGTGAGGACACGGTTCCTGGCGGTGAGGCCAAGGTTCCTGACGCTGAGGACAAGGTTCCTGACGATGAGGACAAGGTTCCTGTCGGTGAGGACAAGGTTCCTGGAGGTGAAAACAAGGTTCCTGGTGGTGAGGACAAGGTTCCTGGCGA